GACAATGATTTTGTCTTTTTCTTTTAAAAACTGTTTCTGTCACGTTTTTTGGCAATGAAAATTTAATTCATGTAATATTTTTTGGAGATAAAGATATGATATATTTTGAAGAATTTCATTTCGAAAACAAAAAGAATGTGCCATTTACCTAGTAAATACCTATCGGGTCGAAAACATGCATGTACTCGTTGCTGCAGATGCAAATTCACACCATTTAACATGGGGAAGCAGTGACAACAACAAAAGGGACAAATGTTTACTTGAATTCATTCTAACCAATAACTTAAAAAATACTGAATCGTGCAAATGAACCTACTTTTGTAACCAGTAGACAGAGAGAAGTTAATGATATTACGCTTGGTTTTCCCTTCGTTTTAAATCACATTGGCAAGTAGTATGTGTCTAGAGAGCATTCGCTTTCAGATCATCGGCATATTCTCATGAAACAAACCATCTTATGGAGGGGGTAACGTTTTTAAACTTTTATTTTGCATTTTTTGTATTTAATTTTTTGAATGGAGAATCTTTCAAGAATATTGTGTGAAAATTTGAGATGAATCGGAGCAAAACTAATGAAGATACAGTGGTTTAAGCAACCGCGCCTCATACATGACTCAGCGCATCAGAAAACACCTGCTTGTTACCTGAGGGGCTATTTTCAAATCCGAGAGAATTCATTTCTGTCAAGAGAAATGTCTTACCTTAACGTAAAACAGTATTTTTGAGGCTCTTAGGGGCAGTGTCAACTCACTGACTGTTTATTTAGAGATAATTAAAATTTTAATTTTAATCCTCGAGGTCTTTCAAAACAGCGTTTTCACATTGACATATCACATTTCTGGTGAGAATCTTGAGATACATGAGTGCTCCCAAAACTTTGAAAATAGCTCCCCTGGCAACTGTTTCGGACTTTTGGTACGAATGGCAAAAAGCTGCAGCTGGCAATGCAGGGCTGCCAGATTCAGTACGTTTGTACTGAATTCAGTACTTTTTCAACTTTTTCAGTATGTCAGTGTTAAGTTATTAGTTTTAGTACGTTTTTGTTAAAAACTGTCAATTCAGTACCATTTTCAATACTAATTTGACATTTTCTGAATAAAGTGACGTATTTTACTATACTTTGTTTTTAAACTAAGAGGAGCGAATTTAAAAGACGCATTTACACAGGGAAAAGTAACTAGATTTGTTACTAAGAGCGAGTTTCGAAATATAGTCGTGTTCAAAATTTTTGAAATAATTATTTTTATCGGCCTTAGTCGGTGAACGGCCAATGAGCGGTTAAGAAACGAATAAATGTCATAGAAGTAATATTTTAATTGGTCCCAGACAACGGTCGCAAATTTCACATTATTGTGATCTGAAATGTATGTCTAAAACGAAATGTCACTGTCAAATTAAAGTCAATATGGTTGTTGATTGATGTCAGAAATACTTTTTTCTTGCTTTTATAATCGACTTTTTGAAAATAACTATGATATTTTTAAAATGGATATTAAATACTTAAGAAAATTGTTAATGGAATATCCAGATGTAGCCAGGTTAGTATAAAATATAAAGATCTGTTCACATTTTTAAGGATATATTTGTTATAGGTATAAAAAGTAAAAGTTAATCAGTGAATGACAAGTGGATCACAAAGTAACTGGTACCTCTTCTATGAGTAATGTGGATATTATGGCTTATTTAGTGTTAACCCATGGTTAATGCGCTAGAGGGCAAATAAGGTCATTCAAAAGTTTACAGGCCTATGAGTCAGAATTTGTTTTGAAAACTGGAACCAACATTTTCATAACACTACATGTCAACATATATTTTTTAAAGTGAACTATTCATACATACCTATGTATTAATTTTAAGTATGTTTAAAATATTTTTTTATGAAAATAATGTTAACTCATTATCCCTAACTAAGTAGTAGATGGTGTTTTAAATAGTATAACAATTTTGTAAATAGTTTTATTTTATTCTAATAAATAAAATTTGCTTGAATATTTAGTTACATTTTAATCATTTTGGTTAGAAATTCATCAATTTTTAGTTTTAAAAAATCAATAATAAAATTATTTTTTTCTAAAATACTTCGGAATTCATTTCTTCATGGTAATCTCCCATCTTTTTACCTTCAAAAACCAATAATGCATTTTCTACAAAACCTTCAGAATCAGCATGTAAAATAATGAGGTGTCTTCCCTTTCTTGTAATGCTTTTCAGGAATTGCTACCTTTAATAGTACTCAGTGTAGAAGGATCCATCATTGTAGATTTTCAATACAATTGCTTACTGAAGAACTATTATTTACGAAATAAAGTAAAAACTAAGTAATGGATGAGATATCAAATTATAAAATGTCAGAACTGTCAACAATATCAATTATTAGCTGATGTTTATGCTAAAAAGTAATGTGTGAAACTGACTGTAATCTGACCAATCAGAAGGCTACAGAATTGCCAACTTAAATTCAAATCGCTCCTCTTAGTTTTAAAACAGAGTATAACAATGGATGACAGTTGACAGTTAAGTCATGTGATGAGTCAAATAATTTATTGCACGTTTGCTTAAGACTTTTTTTATTATACATAAAGATTATAAAATTTAATAATAGTGTCAAACTTGTTCCATTTGTTCCTATAGGGTAAAATTTTTGTAAATATTTAAAATTTTTCTGTATAAGTTATTTAATAGTAAATGAATTTAAATCTCTAGCCATTTTTAAGGTGTTGTTCGATTAAGGTATTGGTATACTTTCATAAAATATAGATTTTTTAAATTTGGTTGTTTAGTACGTTTTTTTGAAATTTAGTACGTTTTAAAATGTTTTTCAGTACCATTTTTCATTTTATTTTCATTCTGGCAGCCTTGTGGCAATGCATTGGATTCGTTAAAACATACGTACAGTGCTCTTCCCAAGGATGTTTTGGATGCCTATTTATGAAGATCTGAGCAAAGATACCCTCCTGGAGCGATGTGTCGGTAGCTTTATGCACCAAAGCACTTGAGTGGAACCTTTGTCATCATTGAGATTGCAGCTTACATAGCAGCATGTGTCTTTAGTGAAGGTTCTTCTGCTTTACTAACCTCCATGCAAGACATGGGAATCAGTAACTGACTCCATGCGTACAAGCCGAGCTAAAAAAATGGACTAAAGAAGGCAGGATTCGTCGTAGACAGGAGCAAAAAGATGCTTTAGACAACATGAATGATAGCAATATCCTTTATGGACCTAGCATCGATGATTCAATGTGAGATAAGCCGATAAAATGTGCTTATGAACATTTTATTACAAATTTTTTAGTGTTCAAAACTTTAAAGCGTTTTTCCCACAACTCATGTTTCCAAAATCGGTACCCCTAATAACATTTTGAAATTTTGAACACTGTTTCTGTACATAATTTACGAAGTAACGCTGGATAGTTTTTTGAAATTTACAATAACAAATTAGCCGATTTTTCTCGCAAAAATCGCTTTTTTCCCTTTAAAGTGTTCCCAAAAAATTAAAAATTAAAATTTCGAAAAAACCCTCCTAGCATTACCTGGGGAAAGCAATTATCTAAAGAAAGAACTTTGATTTTTTTTATTTCAGATGGTCCTACACCGAGTTATGAGGGGCACCACAATTCTAGATTTTTCCGAGACGCTTCCGAATAATTACTACTATTGACGTATTTTTTAGTAATTCTTCTTGAAAATTTTCCACAATATTCTTCGAATATTATACTTTAATGTACCTACCGTTGGTTTTAATAAATAGTTTTTAACTGTATCGTCAAAAATTATTTACAAAAATGTGCCTTTTTTGTACGAATTAACGTTACCCCCCACTTAATTCTCTTAGATAGCCAAGCAGCTTTAAAGGCCCTTAATTTAAATAAAATCAAGTCAAAGCTGGTCTGAAACTGCCTTGGAATACTAAATGATCTGGCAACCTACAATAATTGGAATAGTAAATGATCTGACAACCCACAATAAGGTAAAACTGGTGTGAGTACCAGGGCATCACACCTTCATATGATGGGATTACACAATGATCCCATTACGTGTCTTACGTGTCTTTTTTCAATTTGATTTTGTCGCGCAAATATGTGCGTTGTGTTCGTGTCTCTATTGCGATCCATTTTCGTGTCGTGCTTAGCAATAATTTGTGATTGAAATAATAGTACAAACTAAAAAAATATTCAAGTCCACATTTAAACAAGCAGTCGAGGGTCGTTCGACGCAAATCTCTTTGAAGTTGGCAGCGTGTGTTGTATCTGGCGCAAATATTTGTGGGTTTCTTTGTGCGGCGCACAGTCCACATCTAGAAATATTTGCGTCAAATACAACGCACAACATAAATATTTACTGATCTGGACCCGGCTTTAGAGTCTGTAGGGAAGAAAAAGAAACCTCATACCATGTGTTCTAAGAATGTAAAGCTCGCTAGGCGGCGTCTCACCCTTTTCAGCCTAGCACCGAAGATAACGCTCCGGACCACTTGGTACGGAACTTAATAAAACTAACCAAATGTCCAGGACTATTCCAAAGATAGTACCTGAATACGGAAAGCAGGGAAATGCAATAGACCAAAGAGGCCGCAGTGTTCTTGGGCCAAACCTAACCCTACCTGTTTAGAACCGACAAAAATAAAGATAAAGACAACTAGCAGGTTTTGACAAGTTGAGAGGCAGGTTCTTAAAAAGTCGCAGGCAAATGCTAGTAGTTAAACTTCGAGTTTTACCAGAAATGCCAATAAGTACTTAATTTAGGTTTTACAGAAAAATACGCTGTACATGGTGCATATTGGTAGATTGGGAATCAAATTTGCCATTTAATAGTGAAATGGCTCTTAATAGGTGCCATTTAAATAAGTAAGATTTTTGTAAAAAGACACTTTCTATAAATTTAGTTTTTTTTGTACTTTGTTAGTAAAATAGCCACTGTTTCAAGTTTTTTATTTTATTTATTAAAAAAATATATATTATAAATAAATAAATAAATAAATTTTGTAAAACAAAAAATAGTATTTAAGCAGTTTTTCTTTTATTCTGTTTCTTGCTAATAAACAATTTTCTTAAAACTAACGATATAAATAAATATAATAACACAACAGATACAAAAATAAATAATAAAACGTCAAGCATATATAGTTGGAACCACCATAAACTTAAAGCGGGGCTTCTTAGCAATGGTCCTGGCTTGTATTTAAGGACATATTCGACTGCATGAATTGCTCGATCTAAAGGCTTCGATGGTTGGTCTCTGAACATTTTTGACACTCTTTGCATTTTTTCTTTGTATCTGAAAATTAAGAAAAACTATTAAAATCGAGTCGATTTTTTGAAATAAGTCAAAAAATGGGTCTAAAATTGTGTACGTCTTTTTATTATTTCTATTCTGATTGCTTTTATGATATGTATCCTACTGATTAGGCAACCAACATAACTAGTGTTTTCGTTGTTACTATAAATAGGTGTCACCACTATAGGACAGGCCCAGAAGATGACAGAGATTTACCCATAGGGTGAGTTGCATCATAATACAAGAAGCAGGCGTATTATGGTGTGGAATATGGCCATGATCCGATTAAAATTTATTTTGGCGCGCTGTTTTCGATCAGTTGATACGTCAGATTCGTAATAGCCCCACCTTCCACCACAATGCATCACCGTAACGTATAGTATCAATCTGCATAATATCATACCTTGTTTCAACCAGGAACCGGGTTTGAATTTAGTGCAAGAATGAACTTGGTTCTAGATGCAAGTTTAAACCCGGTAGATGCACCTCGTTTTTATAGAAAATTAATGTAAAAAGAGTAAATGTTTAATTTGTCAAAAACAATGTCCATAGGCCTTTAAATGGTTTGCTGAGCGAACGCGCGTCCGCCATGTTTAAAAGGCAGCAATATGAAAGTTTCGGGCACTTTTTTACGAATATGGCCGGGCAATAAGCATTGTCACCTCTGTTACCAATAAAATTAAATGAAAAATTAATTGATGGTGCATCATTAGTGTATTCTACGGTAGAAGCTCACAATTGTATTCAATTAAAGCGATGGTTAAAGTATCATGGACGTCCTCAAGGCGGAAATAAAGCAGAATTAGTTGAAAGGTTAGAATAACAATTATTGTAATGACAATTAAAATAGTATTGTTATGTGAATTGATTTTAAAAAATACCGAACGCTCAAAATTATTGTAAATTTTTTAGGATCAAGAACGCAATTCGCAACGGTGTCCTAGTAGATCCAAGTCTAGATAATGGGAAGTGGTTGAAGCTAGAACAAGACAAGCAACGTAATCATCAAGTAACAAATACTAGTCCTTCGTTGAGTTTTCCCAGTTTTTGGCAAAAATATACATATACATATATTATTCGTGTAAGACCCTCAACATTAGTGATCGAATTTTAATAAATAATTTTGTTAAATATTAAAAAAAATCAGAGAAATTAGAGAGGTGGAAGACGAAAAGATATTACAATCTTTTTTATCTTCTTCATTTATAATTATTTCTGATGTTCTTTTTATTTCATCTTCTAGTTTATCATAAAATCATTGAGTTCTACTTAATGATAAAATTCACAGAAAATAAAACATTAAAAATAACTCAGGCAGTGATTACCGCGGTGATGTCTTTCCTTCTGGATTGCTTACCGATTATTTAGCGCACATAGGGATGGCAACGATTAATCGAATTATCGGATTAATCGATTAATGTATATAAATTAATCGATTAATCATTTGATATTTTTTCTATAATTTAATCAACGATTAATCGATTATTAATTAAATAATCGAAATTTGTTCGCTCATATTTAACAAACACTAAATTCCAATATCGACCACTTATTTAGACAAATTTTACCTTAGGATTTAGCACATTTTAACCCATGCATTTAACTAGTACCAAACGTCTACTTGCGCCGGCTTTTAGACAACCAGTTTGACACCTAAGTAGCGTGCGTTGTCTATTTTACATCGGTCATTGTTTATTGTCATTGAGCTTAGTACCCCCTATTTATCTTTATATTGTTCTTGTTTATATTGATGTTGTTTTTAAATTTTGTTCCGGTTAATATTTAAATATTTAAATGTAATAGTAAAAAATAAAAATTATTTCCCAATACCTGTTTTCGATTTTATCTTGGTCTTAAATTAGTCAAATAAAATTTAAATTTTCCCACGCCTTCTATACTTGAATGCTCCCACTTTAATGACCGGTTAGAATATTGCTGCGTTTGAGAATCCACATCGGATGCATCTGAGATGTAAAAAATCTTTGATCACGTGGTTCAGTATACGTAAATGTAATGGGACAGATGTGTCCGATGTGGATAAAAAAACGCTCGAGATGTAAAAAATGCATCCGATGTGGATTCTCAAACGCAGCATATATCTTCTTATTATTTAAAGGCCTCAGCTGTCGTGGCTATTCGGTCACCACTAGGTATGTCAAATAAAATTTTAGAATTTTAATTATGAAATAATTTTAATCACAAAAATAACAACAAAATTTATAGCTTATGTTTTAAGGCTGTATGTCACGATACTAAATTAAGTACTAAATTTAGCACTAAATTAAGTTATTAATTTAGTACTAAATTTAGAACTAAAAATATTTTTTTCCGTTTGCAACGATACCAATTTTTAGTACTAAATTTACTATAGGCGCACGCGCATTGACGTATTAATACGTGAAATTAGTAGAGAAATGAAATATTCTGTGTGAAACAGACAAATGAAGTAAATGGTGTTTTTATTATCAATTTGACACTAGTTGACTTGACAACAACCAAATACAGCATAATAACCACGAAAAAAACAAAATCAAACAAGCGAACTTTATTCAAGGCGATAATGTAAAATTGTCGCTAATTAAAAATAAAAGGGTACAGAAAATACCGTCGTGTCAACTTTTTCTATGAAAAACTTCTGCGCAACATTTCGGCGCACTTTTAGTACTAAATTTAGTAGAAAATAGAACAAGATCTAATTAATTAACGACTTTTTTTAGTACTAAATTTAGTACTAAATTTGCTGTTTGCAACGTGAATTTTTTTAGTACTTAAAAAATGCATTAATTTAGTTCTAAATTTAGTACTTAATTTAGTATCGTGACATACAGCCTTTAGTGCCTAATTTATTAATCATTTGACTATTTTAATCGATTATTCTGTTTTGATATAATCAAATATCGATTAGTACTATTTGATTAATCAAATGATTGATTAATCGATTATTTAATAAAAGTTGCCATCCCTAGGCGCACATGCATGAGCGACCGAATGATAATATAAGCGCCAATTTTAAATATTTTAAATATAATATAACAATACGCTAGTTCAGTGATGGTGTAATTATGGTTCCACTGACAATTAAAGTGACAGTAGATTTTTTGAGTGCGTTTTGTTCGTATTGTTTACCTAAATTATATAGTTTCTTCACTTTTATAAATATATTCCTAAAGTAAGTAGATAACATGCATCAAATATACGAGTACAATCATTTATTTACCAATTACATACCTTTAAACTATTTTTTATGACCTGTAAACAATATTTAGAAATAAACTAAAAACAGTAAAAACGTATACGTCAAATTTATTGTTTTTGTTAAAAATTTGGTTAGAAATAAATGTCAGTGGAACCAAAATGACATCACACCGAACTGGTACTTTCTCAACTCGTGCGGTCGCAACTCGGGCGTAATATAAAACTACCTGAATTCGTCGCATCTCGGGCGCCCTCCAAAATTGTGCACCTGTGAGTTCGCAACTCGGGCGTCGACGGGATATGAAATTTGACCATAGTTTATGTACCCTGATTCTGATTACAATCTGATGTGTAGAATAAAAAATATAGAGCATGATATTGGGATCATTTTCAAATTATTGGCGATTTCTAAAATATTTCCGAAAATAATTTGGTCACTAGGGGTATTATAAGTGAAAATGAGAAAAATTCGAATTTTGCACTTTACCTCAAATTTCCCGAATTCGGTCTATTTTAGAGAAATGTATGGAACAAAAATTATAGAGAATTACATTGTAAGCAACTTTTATTTGAAGAATTTTCTTTAAAATTCGAATTTTGCACTTTTTGTCAAAATTCTCGAATACGGACCATTTTAAGGAAATCATGAATATGATAAAATAATATATAAATATTACGAAACGCCTCAGAAACATTTCTAAAACATTCCTAAATTGTAAAAATATCCTGTAAATGTAATATTTCATATATTTTATAAATAATAATTTGAAACCTATCAGAAATATAACATACTGATATTTCAGAAATGTATCAAACAACAGACGCAAACTTCCAATTATTTAGAATATATGGTTTTCTCTAATATAAAATTATAGTACTTAAAATAAAATGACTACAACATAACCCATCTTCTTTCTCTTCTTACAAATGAGAAAATTTTCAAATCTTGGCCATTTACAACATAACAAACATAAACCAACTTAATATTTCAAGTATAATCAATGAAAATGTTTAAAAATATGATTGCAATAAAGTAGAATAATTAATATTTTTAGGTAAAATATAAACAAAACGTCAAAGTGTTTCGATACAATAACGTTTTTATTACGAGTTTTATGTAATTTAAAGAAACGTTAATATTAAACGTGTATGTATCTTAATATCCAACTTTCGGTTGTACCACAATTACATAATAACATTTAAAAAGAATATTAAAATAAACTAGAATAATTAATATTAAATTAACGTAGATATTTGGTTTACATTATTAACCAAACGTTAAAAAGGTTGAAATACAATAATATTTTACATGTTATATATATTTAACAAAATGAGTTAGTTACATAACAACGTTTAAATATAATATTAAAATATAGTTAAATAATTAATATTCAAATAACGTATATATTTAGTTTAAAAAATAAACTAAACGTCTAAAACCTTATATGCACCCATTAGATATCAATTTTTATGAGTCGTATACGATTTGTCAAAAAAAAATATTTTTGGCCAAGAGTAAAGTACATTCATTTTTGACAAACCTCGTATACGACTTATACAATTTGATATATGATGGTTGTATTTTAAGGTCTGAGATCACGCACAATTTTTTATAAGGACATTTTTTTCATAAAATTATTAATAAAAAAAAGTTTTCCATATACTGTCCTAGTATACGGCTCAAAAATGTGATGTATTTTAGGTTTTAGACCATCCACAACTCTTTATGCTAAATATTTTTTTTTTTTGATAAAACTAATAAAAAAAAGTTTTCCATATGTAGCCAACTTACACAGACACCCTACATAAAAAATGTATTAAAATAAAAATTGAATAGCTAGCCGAGGTAGGTACACTATTATTTATCAATCTAATTATATAATAAATAAATTACACTTTTTTCAGTAAAAACTACAATTTCAAATGTCATAACAATGTAATGTAAAGATTATGTTCGCAGAGAAAGATAAATAAAAAATCTTGTTTTATGAAAGTTACATAATATTTAAAAACTGGCAAGCTCCTCCTGTACGGCACTCCGTATATAATTTTAAGTTTAAGCCGAAAGCACCTTCTCAGGTACCGATCCTTGAACGCCCGAGTTGCGAAGGGTATTTAATCTACCTGTAGCCTTCCGCCCGAAATGCGAAAAATTAAGGATTCCGCCCGAGTTGCGACGCACGAGATGCGCATAAATCCACCGAACTAGCGTATATAATTAGAACGAATAAAAACTATTATTCAAATAAAATAATGAAATGGGATACAAATAAAAAAAATCACACAGCAAAAGAAGTGTACAAGATATAGTTTAACTTAAAGTTATTATCCTAGTATCAAAATATAGTATGGTGCTATTTGTAACAAAACTGCTTATTTTACTGGAAAGTGTAAATAATATAGCCAGAAAAGGACCAGAAAAAAATACTTACGACGGATTTGTGATAACCTTCTTTATTGCTTCATACAAATCATTTTCGGTTAAATCTAAGAAACTCAACCGTTCGCCGATGCCTTTTTTCTGAACTCTAATTGAGTTTTGTATCTGATCCCCAAAAACTGGAATGCAAATCATAGGTACTCCAAAATGAATTGCTTCGGTTGTACTTAATAAACCGCTGTGAGTAACAAATGCGATGGTATTGTTATGAGCTAAAAGAAATATATATTTTAAGACTAAGCAAGTTATGGATGATACAAAGAAAACATTAAAAAAATAAAATTTATTAGATAAGGCAACTAGTTTCGGCAATCATCAGCCAGAACAAAAATTTTCAATATGCTTTAAATGTTTCGTATTACATATTTTCTTCGTTTAAAGAAGAACCTTTTGTCGCCCTGTGGAATTAGAGATGACCATTATTTACTGACTTGTAATTATTATTACTTAAATCTGAAACTAAACTGAATAATAATTCGAAAGAAGAGACTAATGGACACCTTGAACCCCTTAAAAAAGAATTTTAGTCTCAATAATAATAATAAGTAACAATGCTGAAAAACAGAATGTTCTTCCCGATTAAATACATGATCTGCAGAACGATTTTTGTCATATAATTTGTTTCATGAAAAATCGCTGACTCATTTATTGTATACTATATGTCCAAATAGCACCATGGTCGCCTTTCGTAGTTTAATTCCATTAACCTCAACATTACTCTGTGACAGTGAGAGTGGATTTATAAATCTGCTTCATATCAATGTGCTTGCGATTGGTAATATCTTCATTTAGGACTTGGCTGCTTTACTTCTATTAACCAACCTATTGAGTTTCATCTTCAAATTAACATATAGAAAAGAACTACCTTTCAACAACTCTCAACAAATCACATCAGCAGTTCTTTTAGATCAAGCCTGCACAACATACGGCCCACGGGCCGCATGCGGTCCGCCATTGTCGTTTTCTTGGCCCTTTGTCCGTTGACCAGTTTGGCCCGCCTACGTCAAACTATACATTTTTAAGTTACAAAATTACATTTAGGTATTAATTGTCTTTTTTAGGAGCTCGATATAAGCTGATGACTTTTTTGTCAGAAGCTCGATAGAAGGACTTGGTTTATAAAATTATAAGGTGAGGATCTCTTTTTAGAATCTGAATAGACCACTTTGACCTGCTTTATACATTTATAAGCTCAGGTCTTTCTTGGCCCTCGTACACTTACGGTTTTTGAACTGGCCCTTTGAAAATCTCAGTTATGCAGGCCTGTTTTAGATGTTCAAAACCCTTGACCTACTCTCGCATGCTGGACTAATCAAAAAGCTCATGAACATAGGTCTCCCCTCACCAGTATCTCCAAACTCATTAAATAACACCTCACGGTCAAATTAGGTAACGCCCTGTCAGATCAATTCACCCCACTCGCTGGGATACCACAGGGCTGCATTCTGGCCCTTCTCCTATAAGGTTTTCGTGGTTTCACTAAATCATATTTCCCACCTTATACTATGGTCTTGTCATACAGTTCCTACGCGGCAACACTTAGGAAAATAGCCTAGCTAGGTAATACAAAGAAAATGATAGTATCTTGTAACTTACCAAGAATATCTGTTTGTGGCATCCATTTGAATAAATATACATTATCCGGTTTATTAGGTATTTCAACTGAACATTTCCACAAAAATCTTTGACGAAATTTTCGAAATGCGTTTATAAACATATTAAACTGTTCCTTTGACAAACTGGTGCATTGTATATTTGTTCCTAAACTGACAAGTACAGCTCCATGTTCAGCACCATCTAAGATACGTTGAATGTCGTTGGGAAGTTTTTTAGAAACAATTTGAAAACCTCCTACTTCTGCTACAGCACTTGTCGTTAATGATGGTCCTGTGGTTAAAGGATGTGAAAACAGTAACATGATTTCTGTATTCGTGACTATTTTTTTAAGATCCATTTTATTCGGAAAATATTTATCCACAAGAGCTTGTTGAGCGGGATAATATACCAAGTCTTTGTACACAAAATCATATACACTTACTAAAGAATTCCGAAGTCTTTCGTAAAAGTTCATTTGATTATCATTTGGTGTTAAAGCAAGAGGACTAATTGAAGGTAATTTTAAATTTCCAATAAAATGATAATTGATATCGCTTACAGGCTGCGAACTGAACACAATTAGTGGAGCTTTAAAATGTTCGGCAAACGCCATATGAGCTTCATTACAATAATTATCCACGATGACCAAGTCGAATGTACGATTGGAATCGATCAATTCTTTAATAATTTTTTTTTCAAACAAAGCTTCTGCATATCTGAGGCCTATATCCAGAGAGAGTTTTTGCAAGGAAAATAGATTATATGTTGGCCAGTTTATCAGATCATCTAAAAAAAAAGAAAATAATGATATTAGATACAATAAAACCGCTTGAATTTATACAGGGTGTCCAGAAACGCTCTTCAAAGAATGAAACCACGAAATCTAGAACTGATTTTATGACGATTTAGCCTAAATTACCTTAGTCCAAAAATGCTTCCCAAGGGAGCTAGAGCTCTTTGAAGATAGCGCTCTAAAATCGGTTTAATTGAAATACCTTCAAAACCTTAGATTAAAGAGACCGAATATGTAACATTGCACACTGCGCATGTTGTCTATTTTAAGCCAAAGTAACCCACCAATTGAAAATCATTGTTGCACGACGCCACCCGAATTGCTCCTATTTCCATTCAGCGATCACCTCCACCTGAGTTTAATCACCATTGACAGCTGTTTTTTGATTTATTTGTTGGTATTTTAGCAATTTAAAGTGTTCTAGTTATTCAATTTCAAGTTCAAAATGTCACGATGTATCTTGAAAAATTGTATGTACTTATAATACGTTTTCAGCGGTAAATATTTATTAACGTTTTCACATAAAGCGCCATGATTCTCTGGGCTGAATACTTCAGATCCGCATTAAGGGGTTTCAATAAATATTAAGCATCAGAAATCAGATTTCATATTACTTACATAAATTTACAAAAGATTAAAATTTTGAACATTTAATTTAAATAAATAGTAAATAGGCATTATTGCTAACGAAATTTTGTATTTAAAAAGTAGTTTTATAAGAATGTTTTCTAAAGGTAGTTTTTAGCCCTTTTTGGTAGATAAATAAGAGGTAAAGAATCATAGTTGCTAGCTAAATTTTATTTTTATAAGGTATTTTTATAAGAATATTAGATGAAATACAGGATGACCTACTTAAAATTTCAAGGTGCATCTTATTTGCGGTCAAATCGAAAGTGACATTGAATTTTCAGTCTTAAAACAAAGTAATCTAGTATAAGCAAAAAAAAAATACTAAAGTTACAGGAGTTGTCCGATTCCACCGTTGTGTTAAACGGAGATTAAAATGACAGTGTTAATGTAAAAATGTCATTTTAAACTTTTAAACTTTAAACTTTAACACAACGGTGGAATCGACCCTTAGTCACGTTAATAAAATGTTACATTACAAACCCCTAAACAACTCGAACATAATTTTCGTTTACTAAAAAAAATCCAAAATTTAGCAATATTTATTTATTATACAATCGAATGCGATTTCAAAGATAACTGGATCAAAAAATCCGAATCTCTAAATTTTGGAGCTAAATGCTCAGATAAAAGCAAGCGACCGATAGGGGTTACAAAAATAATCGATTTATCGACAATTCTGATATTTTTTAATGAAAATCGATTTATCCGCTGTTTTTATTAAATTATTTTCGTTTTTTTTTAAGATAATGTATTAATCGATTTTAAAGGAAATACAAAAAAAGTAGATTTATTCAAAATAATCGATTTATCGTTTAATCAGTTTTTTAATTATTTGATTATTTTCGATTTTTCAAAGATATATGAAAATAATCGATTGAATATAATCGGTTATTTTACATAATCGATATTTTTGTTATTTTTTTTAAATTATCGATTTATTGGATAATCAGCTTTTTAATAATCAATTATTTTCGATAATCGAATAATCAATTTCAAACGAAATATGAAAAAAAGGATTATTAGAAAATAATAGATAATTCGTTTTATTTTTTGTAAAATCGATTTATCATAGAATCGGCTTCTTAATTAATTGGTTATTTTCGATTAGGCGATTATTTTGGAATTATTGATTATTTTTGGTATTTCAAAGATAATCGAATTATCGATTTTAAAGGAAATACAATAAAAATAGATTATTGATAATAATCGATTGATCGAAAATAATCGATTATTTAAAATAATCGATCATTCTGTTTTTTTTTTAAATCGATTTAACAGTTAATCGACCTTTTAATTAATCGATTATTTTTGAAATACAATAAAATAGATTATTGGTAATAATCGATTTATTATAGAATCGGCTTCTTAATTAATTGATTATTTTCGATTAGGCGATTATTTTGGAATTATCGATTATTTTCGGTATTTCAAAGATAATCGAATTAACGATTTTAAAGGAAATACTATAAAAATAGATTATTGATAATAATCGATTGATCGAAAATAATCAATTATTTAAAATAATCGATCATTCTGTTTTTTTTTAAATCGATTTATCAGTTAATCGACTTTTTAATTAATCGATTATTTTTTATTAATCGATTATTTTCGATTTTTCAAAGATTATCGAATAATCTGTTTCCATGGACGAAAAAAAATGGTTTATTTGAAAATAATCGATTATTTAAAATAAACGATAATTCTATTTATATTATATTTTGTAAACACTGATTTATCGGTTAATTGGCTTTTTAATTAATCGATTATTTTTGATTTTTCAAAGATAATCAAGTAGTCGATTTTAAAGGAAGTGACAAAAAATATATTGTTTGAAAATAATCGATTGATCGAAAATAATCGATTATTTTCAATGATCGATAATTTATTTCGATAATCACTCATCCCTAGCGACCAAATTACTTTTAATAGATTTAAATTTTAAAATGTTATCTGGTTTCAGACATATGCATTTCTAGAGTTTTATGTGACTCATCCTTCATAATAATTAATATTCTTAAAGAAAGAAGCCTTAATATACTTTTTTCTGAGGTTACAATACAAAACAGCATTTTCTCATTTTGACTAATTTTTAATAATATGTAATAGCCGTAGAAAAAATGTAATGTTCAACTCATAAGGGTAGATTTGCAGTATTAGCCTGCGCTCATGCTATTTTTATAATACAATGAGTAACATTTTTTGCTCTATTAACAATATATTCTATTTCAACATTTTACTGTAATCTCTTGCAGAAAAGTCCGTAGTAAATAAACGCTAACGAAATATTCTATAAAAGGTCTTCTCTTTACATAAAATGTCGTGGCATCTGTTTCATATTAAAAAATCACGTTAATTTTATTTCATAATACAAAATTCGATTAAACACCTTTTAAATAAACCTAATAGTTCATTAAGATGCTAATAAACAAAGTCCGGTCCCTGTCACAGAGTTCGGGTCGCCGCCCAGTTCCCCCACTCTGTTAACCCTTCTTTAGAAATTGGCAACATTTGCGCAGGTTTAAAACCGGTGTATGTTATATCTCTGGTCTCTTTTATCTAAGTTCAAAACGGATTTTTATTAAATGATATTATTATGTACATTTATTTATTTGAATCTAACCAATCAAATTTCGTAAATAAGATTAGGTTATAAACTAATCACCCGAAACTCTCGTGTAAATAGTCTAGAAGCTAATTCAGCCGGAAAAATGTTGCTTTTTCGGAAAATTCAAGCACCGAAGGTCAAATCAGTCATCATATCAACATTTATTTTGTAATTCAAAATAAAATTTACCCGTAATAAAGAATTATAAAATGAATATAATAGAACGTTGATATTATTAAATATTATTTTTAATAATAAATTATTGATAATATTGTCTGATTGTCTCTCGCGCCGCTAGACTCCATATCGTGGGAGTAAACAACGGACAGTGTAGGCTTTTGCGCGATAATATGGAGTGAACCACAAAAAAGGTTTCTAACGTGGACCTACAAAAAGCCATGCACGTTAGATAAACCGTTACCCAGACAACACACATAGTGCAATGGACGTCCACTTTAGATCCATTTGAGGGCCAGAATGTCAATATCCGTATTCGAACATCCAATGTATGTCCGTTTATGATCATTATAATTTGACAGCTGCATATCGATGTCCAGAGAACGTCTGTTTTTAGACTTAATTTTAAAAGAGTATTTTTTTAACGTCCACTGAACGTCCATCTTAGGTCATTATTTATTTAGCCTACCAGATAATATCCATCTATATATATTTTTAATAGAATTGGTCATTAAAAATTGACAAATTAAATCTATTACATTTCATTCTATCAGCGGAAGATTTAAATTTTATTCTATTTTTCAAGTGGCTCCTTGGTCGAAGTCGCCTACCGCTTAAATGCCCAGAAAGACCATGGACGTGTCGTGAGTTCGATACCTGCTCTGGTCAAGTGATTTTTAATTAAAAAAATTAATAAATGGTGTATAGCGAGATGCGAAAATAATAAAAAAATTATTAATATTATAAAATAGTGTGTGGTGAGTTGTGTTAAAAAAAGTAGGGATGTGGCCTCAATTGAAACACACACACACACATCGCGAAAATAATCAAAACGGATTCATGGGACCCCAAAACGTAAAAATCCGTTGAAAAGTCGAGGTCGAAAAAATCATGATTCCTATAATACTTTCCTTATCTATATACAGATAGGAAAGTAAAAACTAATGCCTAATAAATTTTCTAAATAAACAAAAAAAATCTTTAATCGTGGGAAATAAGATAAAAGTAACCATCCATATAAACTGTAATAGAAAAAAAAATAAATCAATTTTTTAATCTCGTTGGTCTTTAAAACTTTGCCTAGCCCACACTATGTCTGTTCGGTTTCTTCAAAAATACATTGAGAACTATCAGAGGACTAGGTGTATGCGACGAATAATTTGGAATTGCAACTGTTCCACTGGTTCTCGAACGGTCTGCTTCGAGTTTTAAAGAAACACGAAATAAATTGTTGAAATATCTTTGATTCTGAAATGTTGACTACAGTTTAAATGTTACATTAGGAATTAATTATAGGGTCTTTTTTAATTTTCAAATTTCTGTTTTCTATCAAAAATTAAAGTTTTTTCTTTCGAAGATTAACTCGAGTTTCATTCAATCATAAAAATCCATTATCGAAACATTGTTTCTTAGATAATATACAAATTTATTTGATGACTAACCGTCTTTAATTTTTTTATCTATAATATTAAAATCTAATACAGGTAATCTGTTTGGAGGTGTGATAACATTACTAAGGACTATTATCTTTGGTGTATCTGGTTTTGAGGGTGCTAATGGCAGTTTTCTTCTTGAAAAATT